TAGAGAGGAGGAGAGCATCTTGAGGCCTTGTATCAAGGTGTCGCTTGAGAGGGAGGTCATAGAAGGAAGATGAGGGCTCATCTCTATGTAAAAGCTATGTATTCTCCATTTCTTTTTGCCTTAGTGAACTATTTGATTGATTCCCTCCCGTGGACGTAGACCAAGGAGTGAGAAAGAAGATGCAAACACAGGAACACAAGCAAACAAGAGGATTTACGTGTTTCAGTCCTTCGGACCTACATCCACGGGAGAGAATCAACCAAATCCACTAAGATAATAAAGAAGAATTACAAGGCTTCTACACCATTGAGGAATAAGCTCCAGATCTCTCTCTCGACTCACCTCGACCCAAGATCTCACTAAGCTCCCATCTTGCCACGATCTCTCTCTCGAATAACCTCGACCTTAGATCCCCAAGATTCTCCCCTCAATCCTTAAAGTCTCTCCCTTTCTTCTCTACTTCCTCGTAATTCTCACTCCTTGATTCCTTTCCCCTCAACCCTCCCCTACAAGCCACCCCTTCTATTTATAATAGAAGGGGCCTCCCCTTGTAGACTGGGTCTATCTAGCCTAATAATTGAGATTCATTACAACACTTATCTTATAAACAATGTTTGTGCATTCTCAAAATCAATAATTTAACACATTCTCGGTTGATCAAACAACTGATACGAAGAATTGTCTCGATGACTCAAAGACATGGTTCAAAGTAATTCATTGAAACTAACTCGAACTAGTCAAGTGGTTGTAATGTTGCCAAAGTCATTAACCCAACAAGATCAACAGAAATTTATTATGATTGGGCAATATTTGCCTCATTATTTGTTAAAACAAACCCACACAAGTTCAAACATACTAATTGCAACATCCTCAAACAAACTTTCGAAGTTGCTTGTCGGCATTATTCCTCTAATTGAGCCAATAACTTCATCCAAAAGACCAATAACTTAAACCATGAAACTTACAATCTAAAAAAAAAGCAAGTAACTTTGTATAGAAACTCGACGACTTCACCCAATTATCAAGAATATTGAAGAGACGACTTAATTTCTTCTTATATGCCTCTTCGAAATATGTAACTACTAAAATAATTAATATTCATTCATAATCATCCAACACTTTGTGATTAATATTTTGATAAAATCATTAAACCCTTAACTATCTTAAATCATGGGTTCTTTAAGGGGAAGAGTGCATGAAGGTATTTGAAGTCAAGAAAGAGAAACCTGAAAATAATTGAAGTTAGTAGAGAGAGTTCTATTAAGTAGTGATTGTTGTAACAAATAGAACAATTAGTTATTTGAGTTTAAACATATATTGCTGATAGGAAAATTTAATATAAGGTTATTAGTTTTAATGATTTAGATTCCTCACTTAACAAGTCTATGAATATGTGGCTATTTCTAAATATTTGCTTCAATATAGTTTTAAGAAATAATATAAAATCATTACAGTTATGTTAGATGGTACATCATCTAATGACATAAATGTTGGAAACTTGAAGGCATTGTTTATTAAAAGATGTATTTTTTTATTATTAAATTTGAAGTAATCTTATTATAAAATGGTAAATGGTATGAAAGTAAGTTTTTATGAAATGTTAGGTAAATTATTCTATGTTATTATCAATTACTTGTGAAGCGTGTTGGAGAATTCGTGGCTGTAGAGAAATGAATTATCATCACAACATTTTACGAAAATACAACACACATTGATAGAATAAAAGTATCAATAGAGAAAATAGATTTTTTTTACGTGGAAAACCCGAAAAGAGAGAAAAAATCATGGGGATTGACCCAATCAAAGATAATCGACTAGAACTTGATGAGTATAGGAACATACCCCTTTCTTGTAGACAAAAAATTCCACACAGTTACAGTGTTCGTGACCAGTTGCACAACAGTCGAGAGTGGTTGTAGTTGCCGAAACTTCAGTACACCATCCTCGAAGTGAGTTGCTATGTGTTGTTTAAGAGGAAGCACTACCTAACTATATTGGATACTTCTCTGCATGGTGCTTCGTTATTCTGCACTATTGGATGCTACTCCATAGAGTGTTTTGTTACTTTACAATATTGGTCGTTGTTCAATAATTAAGGTGTTTCATTGCATCGAGTTAAGGGCGACCGACAATGGTTGGCGGCAACTAACAAGTTGTAGTCGACGGTGGTCAACACTGGTAATAACGAAAAGCGTTTAATAGATCTTCGAAGTAGAGCAATGGATTTTGGCTCCTTCTCTTCTAGATCCTCCTCCATGCTTAAATCATGGTTCCGTATCATGAAGAGGGCAATATACTCTTTATATAGTCTATGAGAGTCTTCTTGGCAATTAAGCTGGACCACTTCATCGGACGTCCCAGAGAGATTATATCGATCAAATAGAATTTTACTGACATTTAAGTACTTTAATTGTGTCAGAATTGTATGATCTTGGACTCGTTGGGTTCGTCTCATCGAGATTCTCAGCATGATTTCAAGTTTGTCAGATTTGGAAATTGTTTGACCTTCTGATTGAGCACCAGAAACTTCAAAAAATGGTTTAACGACTCAATTTGGACTTGATATGATTTGTATTATACCAACTTTGTGTTCATCTCATCGAGAGGGTCAGTTTGACTATAAGTTGAAATCAAAGTTTTAAATGATTTTTAATCAAAATTTGAAAATTCTTTACTAAATAAATTCTCTCTGGATTTGTGCTACGCCTCGAGTTTTGTTCTTGATTATGAAAATTTGTTGATTGTGTATGAACTTGTACTTTAGTCCACAAGATAAAGATATTTAGCATTGCATGCTTTATTCAAAAACTTATAATGCTAACATTATGATAGAAAAGGTACATAACATCATGGAATCCACTCATTTTGTGCATTTGATATGAATACATTGTTAAAGAGAATAGTAGAAATCTAACTTAGAGGTCTACATAATAGATGCTAGCATCAAATGTATAGATTCTAAGTTGGAGCGACAATAAACATACAACATAATTCTTGTGCATTTACATATATAAATTATCAGCTAATATTATATTGTACTATTAAATATAAACAGTTCAAATTATATTAATATAATTAAACAATTAGATATTTACTAGCATAATTATAAGAATGTGTTATGAATTTTATTTTTTTAATTATTAAAGTCACATAATATTTATAGGGAATAAAAAATTGTATCAGAATATCCAAAAATAAAATATAAATAAATGAGCTTAAATGTTAGTAGATTTATTTTAAAAGTAATGTAATTCAAAATTTTTATATGTAATTTTTTTTTTTTTTTGGGTGAACATATATAATATTAAGTAAAAAAAAAAATTTTTTTTTTTCATTCTAATTATAAATTGTTTGAAAAAATGAGGCAATTTTTTATTTTAATTATTTCAAATAAGTACTATTAAATGATTTTACAAATAAATAATAATAATTTTTTTGCCAAGGAAATAAAATAGCCTTTATTAGTGAATAATATATATTTTTTTCAATCAAATAATATAATACAATAAAAACAAATCAGCATATTAAAATAATAATATTAATAATAACAATTTATAATAAATTTATTTATATACTAATTTAAATAAATATGATTAAATATTTTAACCAAGCCAGTTAAATTCATTCATTCATTCTATTCATGGAAGTTTGTTCATTTACAGCCCTACAGCAAACAACCGCTGTCAGGCACGTGTCCATCATGTGACATTACCTTCAGGCGGAAATGCCGAGGAGGGTTAAGAGCTGAAGCCTTCTTCTCCTCTCCTGTGTGTCAGGAGGGTACATTTTCGGTTCCGTCGCCATCGAAGCTGAGTGGGGAGATCTTACCCATCGTCTGCAGAGATCCCGCATTAAAGTGTTCACTCTCTCGTCAATATCTCCGCCTTCTACCCTTTTGGTTTCTCCTTCTCCGATCTCGCTTCCTCGCTGCCTCTTAGTTTCCGCTAGTGATCTCGGACCACGCGGCAATGGCTTCGTACATCTCCGCCCCGTGCCCTAAATTCCCGTCTGTACTCCGAATCGGCAGGTCTCGCGGGGTGGCGGGTGTTTCCCATTCCAGGGTTCGGCTACAGGTCGATCGTGAATCCTTGCCTTTATTTTACATTTTATTTTTCGGTTTTTTGGGCGGAATTTCTGCTGGTTTGTTTAGTCTATCGGAAATTGAATCTTTTGGCTAGGGATTTGCAAATTTAGAGAGGATCTTTGTTGGGATGTTATGCGGAATGTTCTTGATTTACTCGGAGATAATCGATGGATTTGAATAAAATTTTGTTTTGTAAAATTGGTGTGGTTTGTTGTTCAAATTGTAGGCCAGCTGATGGTTGGTTTTGCTTGGAATTTTTATTTTTTTTATTTCGGTGTCTTGTAATTGTGTTTGCGATGAGGTATGAGGAATTGAGGAATTGAGTCAAATTGAGCATTGATGACTTTGCTGAGGCTTACACGTATGTGCCTGTTTGGTTTGAGATCTTAATCCCAGTAGACTTCTGGCACTATCATTTTTTGGTTTGATCTAGGTAGGTTAGGTGGGACTTATCGGATTACGTGTGATTGGTACGATTTGGTAGAATTTAGCCTAAATGATTATAATAAGGCTAGTTTTATCAATTTACCTTTCAGACTATCATTCCTTTTTATATGATGGAATAATTTGCTTATCAGACATATCGTTAGAATATTAATGTTTAGTTTAACAGTATATTCACTTATTTCATACTATCGAACATTAATTATCATTGCTAATCATATACTAGTTAGTAGCAAATGATTTTCCTTTTTTTTTTCATGATGCCAAACTCATTTCTTCAAAAAAAATTTCCTTATAAGAGTCACTCCATTACCAGCATTGCTAGCCTAATCTTAATTTTTAGGATCATCTTTAGAGTTATCATTTTCTATTTGTTATTGTCAGGTGTTTTCTAAAGATTTAAATCCACACTTTTTTCATAAATCACTTTGAACTTCTATCAATGTTATCTTAAGTAGATTCTTTATGCTGCTAATAATTTGACACTAATTTTATAGTCCTGTCTAATAGGTGCACTTTATATCCTTTGTCGTAGAATTGCAAACCATTTATCCTTTTCAGTGTTGTTACATGGTCATCCGAACATTCACATTTTCACCACACACAATTTAACCACTCACGCACGCACACACACACATGCACATATACTTTCATAGCATTGTAATCAATACACCTCCAACTTTGTTTTAATTTTACAAAACTCGCCTTTATATCTCCATGATATCCTTTTATCACATAATGTTCTTAATTCAATTATTTTCATTTTAACATTTAAATAACCAATCCTAATACTAAAAATTATATCTTCATCTATATTCTCATTTTTTCTTTATAATAGTTTTAACATACAAATACAGCCATCAACTTAGTTTTAACATCTATAACTTCGTTTTCTTACAATATTGATTGATAATTTTTAATATCACACTCACTAAATTTCATATTTTATAATCAATTTTAGTTCTACTAATTGCAAGTTTTTTATCTTCCATTTTTTTTAAAATTATTTTTCATTTCTCTAGATATACACTTGTTTTATTTGTTTTTTTACTATCTTATTTGTAAAAAATTACACCAAAGCTCTCTACTTTAAATCTTTTTTGGAAACATTATCATCAACAAATGATTAAATGATTCAGTACATATATTGTAAGATGAAATGGGCAAGGAACTAGAATATTAAAATAAGAAAATTAGACCTTATGTAAGTACAAGGAGAACTTCCTTTCAAATTAGATGGCTGTACTTGTATTTTACTCGAAGGAATCACACATCCAACATGCACTCACAAAATATAGTTGAAAAGAAAATTGTATTTAAATTTAGTTCCCTAATCATTTACCTTTGAAAAATTTTTAATACTAGATATGGTTGACGTGGGATCATCCTGATTTAAATTAAAACTAATCCCCCAACTGATTTATGTGCAATTTGAAACCTCATGAAAATCCAATCAAAACTGAGCAACCCAACGAGCCTATGATCAACAAATTTTTAATTCCAAAAGTCATTCTCAACTAAGTGCGCTCATAAACCCCTTAGAAAATGGAAGTCATGGGAAACAAAACAAAATATGCAGAAGGCTATAGAAATAAAAATTGAAATCCTCAATCCAAATTCCACCGCTTGAAATCACAATCAACACATCAAATATTCTTTAATTAGACCTTAACATGTGATTCCCAAAGGATAAAACCAATAATAACCACCTTTGACTACCATTTCAAAACCACATCAATATGACTGGCTTGAAAAAAATTCAACTTCGATGAATTGATCTTTAGCCTAAATTGAATTAAAATTGAAACCACGCTAAACCATATGAACTAATGTAAAGGTATCAAATTGAACTACATCTCTATTTTTGGCTTTGTTCACTGCATGATATTAATTATAGAAATAACAAATAAAAAAAGGCTAACTTGTAAAAGAAAAATAATTAAGTTTTGCTTTTGACGAAAATATACACAATTTCTATCAAATTTGCCCAGCTTGGTCAAATTCAACTTAAAATTTTAGCATTTCATAAGTCTCGCTAGGAAGTAAGGCATCTTTGAAATCCACCAACAACATAGTTATCTTTTTGAATTGGAACTAGACATCTCCGAGATGCAAACATAGCAATTTTATCTAGCAGTTTTATCTACCAAAGCAACTTTATATGATTGTAAATGTGGTTCATGCTTTCAATTCATGCAGTTCACTATAGTAAATACAACATTCATATCATTTTACTGTCAAATCGAAGCTTGTGAGGCATATCCTGTTTGTAATGATTTTTAAAAGTCCTCTTCTAATTGAATTCAGCATTAGGAGTAAGTAAGATGCAAATGGATGATATTTAAAGATTTTAACATTTGAAGGATCATTATTTTCACTAATTTCTTTATCAAACCCTTGAACATTAATAAAATAATTAATCTCTTTTTCTTTCTCCTCCACATCTACATGCCAGTTCTTACTTGGACACTTATCAGCATAATAATTAATTTGATGGCCTTTAAAACATTCATTGGCAGATTCTTAGACCTAGATACAGATGTAATTGATTTTCCCGTTGTTTTCATATTGATTGCAGTGTTACTATCCTTGATTGTTGTTGTTGTTGCCATGAACTGAACTTGATTGCTTAAACACATGAAATTTTAATATGTAATAAATCTAAATACATGAAATTTTAATATTTGTTGAAATCTATTACAAATTGAGATGAATACCTTGATCAATGTGATTATGTGCCACTCCTCTCTTAATATCACGTCTCAAACTATATACACTTAGAGAGCTTGGTATTAAAATCTTCAGTGATCACTGAACCTGATTATAGTTCCTCAAATTTGTTCATATATTCAATAATGGTTTTGATCCATTGTCTTAAGAATTAAATCCATCAAGCAAAGGTTAATGACATATTTTTCTATTGGAAGTTCTTCCATTTTGACCTATGTGGTAGGGGATTTTTTTCCCAAGCTTTTTCTCTGTCTTTCAATCGTCGTTGAATAATTTTTCGTTTGACCAATTAATTTCATTTTCACAAATCTCACCTAACATTCCCCAAATATTAGACATGGTTTGCTTTTCAAATAAGTTATCCATATTTAATAATCCATTATTAAAAGCTTTAGGATCAATTTTATCGTCTTAGGTGGACCCTTAAATTTTAACTTTGCTTATCATCCGTCTAAAATTTGATATTAGTATTTTCATAAGTATCATTGTTGAAAACTTTAAATTTTTTATCAAGATTATTTCTATATCGCTGGCAAATGCTGACTTTGAATTGGGTCATCATTTTGTATGGAATTTACTTCCGGTCCACATGCATGAATTTAATTTGTTTTTAAAATACCTATTCATGTTTTAACCATATTAATTCGATACAGTTGTTTTGCTTCTTCAATAAGTCAATTAATTGATTTTATAAATCTGTTAAAATTTCATCTATTTTTTATTTTTAGTTACTCTGATTATTAGCACTGCTCAAATTGGCATGATAACGCAATTTAAAGCTCTAATATCAATTTTATGTACGAGGACGTGGTCCAAATTTTCTAATTTTACTAATATGATGCATAATATGATTTCATGTAAAGGAAATTTGACGTTTCACATTTCTCAAGTTACCTATTAGTTCAACAACCTATTTAAACATAAGCATGCACTGCTAGAATTTAAAATCAATTGATGATGAATGATCAAATTAATTCAAGAATTCATCAAGAAATTAAAATAAAAAACAACGAGAAAATAAATTAATTTTAACAATTTTAATTTTCTATGGACCTTACTTTAATCAAAATAAAAAGTACAAAGCAAATCAATATCAAGTAATATAAGATAAAATAATCAAGAAACAACAATACGTAGTAAGAAAAATCATGCTTATGTTGATACAATGAAATGAATTTCCTAAATTGTATAGTCACCCTTGAATGAATCAAATATATAGCCTGCACTAAAAAATTGAAATTAAAAAATAAATTTTATTCAGGCCCAAGTTCCCTCATTACATCCACAAAATAAATATTTATGGACTTCCTTGGGCAAGTAGATATGTTTGGCATCAACCATTTCAAATATATATTTATCTCAAAACTAATTGATGCAAAATTTGAAACCTCCCAAATATTCCATCCTCATCAGAACAAACCAGCAAACCTGTGACATAATTTAAATCCCAAACTTATCTGTCAAACAGGTTTCTTCGATAAACAATAAGAAATCTCAATGACCAAGGAAAGCTAAAGCATGCAGCAATAAAACCTGCAGAAGAAGGAAAAAACTGGATCCCTTGAATTCAAAATTTACTACCTGAAACTGCAGCCAACATTTATCCAACATTCATTATTTAAATCTGCACCTATGATGGCAAAATAATTACAAAAGGATAAAGCCAACAGCCACCGCCCAAGGAGCCCACGTCAATTTTGCTATGTCCTAGATAATGGTGGCAACCTTAACTGGTTATGCAAGTGCACCTAGTGAAGGCCGATATCTCCCTCCAATCAAAGAAAGCCTTCCACATGGAAGAATTCCATGTCTTGAACCTGTTGATCAATTGGCTCATTTCAATTTAGCCTAAGTCAAACTATTCAATTGATGTCAGTTCTATGAATTTCTCATAGGAAGAACGTTTTAGAATGAAGTATGCAGTTTAGCTCTTCAACAAGCCCTGTTGGCTCTTCATATGTAGCCCCTGACCGAGGGCTATTAATAAATTCCAATACAAGCCTTATCATTCATTTCAAGCTCTTTTGACCTCTACTCACTGTTGTTCCCTCATAATCTAAGATAGTACCTGGGAGGCTGATCAATCTTTAGGGAGAAACCTCTTGTAGATCCAACTAAGTCCTTTCAACAGAGTTGACATGGACGTTGGAAGCGAGGAAGTCATGAAGGAGGCACGTTTTGATTTTGCATTTAACTTGCACAACTGATTTTGATCTTCTGAGGTTTCTTTTTTAGTACAGTGACATTAATTAGCTTGGCTTCTATTCATATCCTTACTGTTTTTATTTCAAATATATTCAACTACTCGTTTATAAATTGTAAATCAGATTCTTCTATTAGGTTCAATGTTTGATGTAACTGCTGATATGTTGGGCTAATTATGTCTTTTGTAATAGAATCGATAAAATACACCTTTTCGTTGTCACTAATGAGGAATTGTAGTTGCAAGTTATCTTATTAAAAACATAGAATAAAAGCGAGGCAATCATTTTCTCCAAAAAGAAAAGATAAAAAAAACATGCAATCTATTTGGCTTTTCAAGTCCTTTTCAAGCAGAAGTGCAAATAAATTTGAGTTTTTCAGTCATTACCAAAAAGAAAAAAAATTAACTTTTTTTTTTTGGGAAATAGAGCCTAATTTATCCAAAGAAAAATAATCAAATCATGATGAATTTAGTATTTTTCTTTCAAAAAAGAAAAAAAAAAGATCTGTTTGTTTCTTCCTAGATAATTTTATAGCCTATGAAAAAAAAAGCTAAAATAGATCTGAAGCTATGGCATAGTCATAGTAAACTAAACCTTTGATGTTATTGTTGCTTTGATATTTTTCCTTTGAACATTGAGATGCTTTGTACAAAGCAAGAGCCAGATATTAGTTCTTCGCACTCAAACAAGGCATATAATTTGTATATTTCTCCTCTTTTTTTTTCTCTCTTCATGTTTTCCTTATCTCGCTACTAATCAGTTTTCTTTTCTTTCAGGGGCCTAAAGACAGAAAGTTCCATGGTTTGATGGCCAAGGCTCATGAGGTAGCAATCTATTTTTAAATTATGCTCGATCATATCTATCAGCATTTGTCTTGACCCAGCTCTTTTGGTTTGTCCAATTTTTTTCTTCTCTATAATCTCCTTGATTTTCAAACTCAAGATCACACTCATAAATTTTATCAAGGGCATATAAGTTACATATTTAATTTCACTATTTTTTTAAGATTTAGCTATTTGTAGAGCATTTCACTTCATAAGTTTTAGTTTTGTTGATGCATTTCATGAATTAAAATCATCAAATGTGGGTTTAATATCATAAACCATTCGAAAAACTGCACACCTTGATATCCTCAATTTTTTCAATGCAATCATAGTCATTTATTAACTCATAGGTTAAGACAGGATACAAAGATTTCTCATATTCAGTTTGGATTTATGCTAGGAAAGTCTACTTTGGAAGCTATGCATTTATTGAGATATTTGATGGAAAAGTACATATAGTAAGGAGGCTCTACATATGATTTTTATTGATTTGGAAAAAACTTATGTTACGATTCCAATAGAAGTTCTTTGAAGAGTTCTAGCAAAGAATTGTGTTGATATGATTTATATTCAAGCCATTAAAGGTATGCATACTAGAGCTATTATTTGTGTTTGAATAGAAGGAGGATTGACCAAGTATTTTTCTATTTCAGTTGGATTACATAGGGAATGATTTTAGGCCCGTATCTTTTTGTTTCAGTTATGGATGCTCTTATCGGTCATTTACATAACGATGTACCTTGGTGTATGCTTTTTGCTGATAAGATCCTTCTTATGGATATGACTATAGAAGTGTTCAGGAAAAACTTGAATTGTGGAGGTCTACCTTAGAGTCTAAATGCCTTCGTTCGAGTAGATCTAAAACGGAAAGCATTAAATGTAATTTTAGTAGTACTAGATCTAGTGGTAGAGTTGTAACAATGGGCATTCAAATCATTAAAAGTGGTAAATGTTATAGATATCTCGGGTGGTCTATTATTCAAAATGATAGTGATATAAACAGGGATGTTATTAGAAGAATTCAAGTTAGATGGTTGAAGTGGAAGAATGCATTGGGCCTATTGTAGAAAAGTACTGCACATAATTAAAGGAAAATTTTATAAGAGGCGGCGAGACTTGCAATGCTTTATGGCGCAAAATGTTGGCCTATAAAAGAGAAGCATTAAATAGATGGGGATTCTATTTGTATAATTCAAGCCGGATGGTTGAAGTGGAAGAATGCATTGATCTATTGTGTTATAGAAAAGTACTGCATATAATTAAAGGAAAATTTTATAAGATGGCGTCGAGAATTACATTGCTTTATGGCGCAAAATGTTAGCCTATAAAAGAGAGCATTAAACAAATTTGAGTGTTGTTGAGATAAGTGCTTAGGTGGATGAGTGATTTTACACTTAGGGTCTGTTTGGGGCAGCTGAAGTTGTTTGAAGAAGCAGCAGTGAAGTTACTGCAGAAGAAACTGCTATTTAAAAGCTGTGGTGGCTATTATATATTTTTTATTTTTTTGAAAAATTTAGACCGCAGCTTTTTAGCAGCTACCACACTTAGTCAGGTCCGATGACAAAACACAACTTTCAACTGTAGGTTTTTGAAAAAGCAGATAAGTCGCAGTTTTGCCAAGCAGAAAAAAATGCTGTGTGGCATGACACCACCACCCTAAACACACCCTCAGAGACAAAATGCGAAACAAATATATTCGTGAAAGGGTTGGTGTAGCTCTAGTGGCGGATAAGATTAGAGAGAGTTGTCCTAAATGGGATAGTAGATGTTTTAGATTCTACTTATGTTAAGAAAGTTAGAAACATATCTAAAAAGACCAAGGCATTTTGTATAAAAAATGATCTTAAATTATTAAATAAAATGAAAATATGACACTCTATATGACACAGTGGAGAAAAACGATTCATGTAGCGACCCCACTTAGTGGGATAAAGGCTCGTTGTTGTTGTGTTATGTTGTTGTCATTGATGATCTTGTCATCTTAAGAAGTTATTGAACTAGGGTATGCTACTAGTTTTGATGGTGCTGAACAGAAAAAGAGTTTTGATTTTATATCAAGTCATAAATTAAGAAAAGACACTTTTCTTGAATGGAGAAATATCCGTCTCGATATTTTTATATAGATTTACATGCTTCTGTTTGTGTGTGTAAATTTATTAGTTTTACATTATTGGATATAAAAACTCACAATCTTCAGAGCTATGATAGATGCCTAAATTAAACATATCAACAATCGAAAAATTTATTTTTCTTATTTTTTTATTGGATTGAATTATATTTAACATACTATAGCAATTGAAACATACGGAGGTATTGTTCTTTTTCGGTATATGTTCAATACCTGTTAAAGATTTTTCACGGGGCGGCCATACAATGTCAAAGAAGTTTAAAAGATATCAATTGTAAGACATGTAAGATGATGTGTTTGATGAGGTCTATTAGAGCACATTTGACCAAATACAATGCTCCGTAGAGGTTAGCTTTATGAGTCCTTTAATGCTATTCATATCCAAAGTCATGCTCGTACGTGTAGTAGTTGTATTTCATATATTTCTCAATTTGTTTTACTTGGGAATGTTGACAAATTGTAAGGTTACTGTCGATGGTTCTTCAAATTCGTTGCCTCTGGCAGCTGCCAAGTCAGAAATTCATTCACCAAAGGACAATGATGACAAGGCAGAAGATGAATCTGCTATATCAGATTCTGCGATATCAGCATTCATGTTGGAGGTTTCAAATCTCGTCAAGTAAGACTGCATTTGTATTTTTTCATGGCAAACTAGCAAGGATTCTGTTGATCTTTTAACAAGAATATTTCTGGCCATTTTTTTCATTTATTCAAATATTCTAACACATCACATTACAGTGTAATACTGTAAGAAAATAGAAAGAAATGTTCATACGTAAACTTTTTAGGGCACATGTACAAGTCCTATAAACTTATTCCTATATGGATCAGAAATGTTGACAAAATAATCTATGATATGCAAATTATTGGAGGTGTTAATTAAATGGTGAAAGTTCTTAGAATAACACTGCTAAATGTGATGGGTTTCATTTCAAGTCAGACTTGGAGGAAACTAGGCAGTAGTTTCCATACATTTCTACATTTTGATGTCAAAACCAGTTAAAATTTGAACTGTAAGAACATGCAGTTAGTGTAACTCACATTTTTTTTGTATGTTTTAATTTTTCTATGAAGCACGACTTCAAATGGGTGCACCCACAAAAAACTAGACAGGCATGGTGGATTGGGTATGACCAAATTTTGGGATTCTAAGTTTTGCATGATGGCTGGACCAAAGTTTTCCACCTGATCCACAGTTTAAATTGGGTTGGTTTAGGTTTGACCAATGTAAAACACATGCTTCGTACTTGTCTTTGGTCAAATTTAGTTGTCCTTGTCCAAACTGACCCATCGAAGCTATTGACTGAGGCCAAGTTGGCTCTTATGATCACTGTCCTGATATGTTGTAAAAGCCCAATACATTCATGGCCAGATTGGGTTTGTTACACCAGACGACAGTGCTCGTTCTCTTTACCAACCTAATAAATGTCTAAGTTTTCTAAGAACAACAGCTGTCTTAAGCATAAGCACCAAATATTCTATAAGATGTTGGAAGTTGCATAAGAGTGTTCTTCTAATACTTGTTTAGTCCACCAAGATAATCCAAATACAGCAATGAAATAAAAGTTTGAGGTAGATTTTACTTCTACCATTCATATGAGCTTTCTTCTCTTATCAGGCTTGTGGATTCAAGAGATATCACAGAACTTCAACTGAAACAGAAGGATTGCGAGCTTATAATTAGAAAAAAAGAGGCCATACAACAGCTAGCACCTGCTCCTGTCGTCATGATGCAGCCTCCGCAAGGTGCGTTTCCAACACAACCCCAGGTCTCCCAAGCCACTCCTGTTCCATCAGCTCCTCCTCCATCAGCATCTTCCTCCTGCAAAGAGCAGCAAGTCCTCACTTCCTGTGCTAAAATGTCCCATGGCTGGAACATTTTACCGTAGCCCAGCACCTGGTGAACCGGCTTTTGTCAAGGTTGATACATGGATGCTATTCTATTAGTAAACACTTTGTTACTTCCAAGTTCAAGAAAATTCCATCTACTCATCTTCTTGATAATTAAAATATTCATTTGCATGTATATATGCAGTTGTAATTTAAGTTATAGTTTTGTACTAATTATTGTGCTTATATTTTGTTTATTTTTTATGGCTTGCATATTGAGATTGCACTCACAAATATAGGTATGAGTCCCTTGATAGTTCATAAAATAGCCAGCTGATGCTTGTTTTGCTATCCAGGTTGGAGATAAGGTCAAGAAGGGGCAGGTTGTTTGCATTATTGAGGCTATGAAATTAATGAATGAGATCGAGGTAAGTCAGCCTACTGAAAACTGTGTCAACTTCTTTCTTATTTTTTTTTCATGAGTTATGCAACTAAGAAATCCTAAATTACAATGAACACCTAACATAATCTCAGCATGTCTAGCTTCTTAAAAGTTGTATCCTACACAGTACAATTAACTAACCTGTAGAATCTTTAGAGAAGCATAATGATTGAGTTGTAATTATTTTAAACTTGTTCAAGTGTTTCTGAAACCGGTAGATTTTTATGAGAGCATCATTCTTGGCCTATTGTTCTTAATAATGTTGAAAGCCTTAACTTGGTTTTATATTTTCATACCATGTTAACCTAATGATCTTGCATTATGATTTATTAGACACTGACTTTAAGTTGTGCAACCTATAATAAGCATTTATAGTTGCTGAAATATATTAAAACCGCTCCATGTTATTTAAAAGATTTTCTGGGTACAGTGACGTATCTTTTTTGTGTAAATGATTGTGCTCTTAATTGTAAATTTGAATCAGAACACACCTTCAATTGTTGATGACTAGTCTACTTTCAGGGATAATCAGGTTAGGTCCAGCTTATCTTCGGTCTGATTTGGATTGCATAAAAGTTGATATAAAACATTGTTCTTTTTGGATTGAAATTGGGCTAATGATAATCCTTCTTTCAACCGAAAGAGGTGAAAGTGATGTAGTTTAGCTTTAAAATATTATTATCTTGTGTGGAATGATGTGCAGATAGGCAGGCCTCTTTAATTTTGGGCTTGGTTGATAGTATTTTACAAGCTTCAACCATGATTATGGCTGTTTTAATGGACTCAATCAACTAGGGTTTAGGATATGTAAAAGACTAAGAGAGATTATGGTGATTACTAGAAGGTGTTTATGAGATCTGTTAAAAGTTGATCCAAAATTTTATGCTTTCATAATGAAATTGAGTTAACTATAATTATCTTGTCAACACATAAAGGTAATGGGGATATAGCTTAGTTGTAAAGCCTTAAGATATTGTGAGAAATTATGTGTATATTATCAGGCCTTCAAGTTGTGGATTTGGGCCGATGAAACCTTAGAAGCTTCAACCATGAGTAGGACTGTTCTTGTAGGGATCAGTCAAATAGGAATAATGTGTGTACTATCAGGCCTTTAAGTTGTGGATGTGTGTCGATGAAACCTTCAAAGCTTCAAGCTTAAAACATTAGTAGGACTGTTGTTGTACGGCTTAGTCAATTAGGATTGAGGATATAAGAGACTAAAAGCGGGCATGGTAATTATGAGAAGGCTATCAAGAGATTAATGAAAACTGGCGGATTAAATAGAGAAATACAAAGCATATCTTTTTTTTTTATATAGATTTCCCATTTTTTTTTCTTGCATGCTTTGTTATTATTTATTACCTTGATAGGAATCAATTTTTCATTGTATCTGAACAGAGAGAAAGCGAGGGATTTGTGAGAGAACGAGGTTAGAGAGATGATGACCAACGAAAGACTAATAGATAGAGAAAGAGTGGGAGAGTTGGGTGACCAAAGAAGAGAGAGAGAGAGAAGGGGGAATTTAATTTAATTGTCATCCAAATTCCCATGAAATGAATACAAAATTAATAAAAAAGGGATTATATTTTTTGACTCCTCGTGATAACTTGAAATTCAAGTTATTTTTAGTAGAATTTATTGTCAATAAATAGAAAATGCCAATTGTAGCATGAAAATTGGAAAAATGATAAAATTTTAGCTATACTGCTTAAATGCTTATCCTTGTTTGCTTCTAATCCTCCCTCTTATCTTTAGCTGGTATGACAAATGATGTTTAGGAGAGAAAAAAATTGGTGAGTAGGGTAAGAAAATAAATCTTTGTTTTTTTTAATTATTTTTTTATTTTTAAATTTCTAACCAGTTTACCTTGTGCTTTCTTGTACTTCTTGTGAGTTACCCCTTAATACCTGGGCAGATTTATCTATTTAAGTGAGTCTCAGTGGCTAACCTAAAATGACAGAGAGAATGATATTAATGCCGGTAGAAGAATAATTGCAGAAATTAGCAAATTTATGATGTATTGCAGTATTCTCTTATTGTAACACAGGAATATGAGTCATTACAATACGTTAAAATAATCATTCTTTATCTCAGGAATAAAATGAATACAGTATAAACAGTCTCTTTGTATCTCAGGAATAATGAACAGAGACTATAGATCTTGAGCAATATGTGAAGACATCAATGTAGTTTTTAAAAGCAAGCAAAGCTCGACAAAGGTACAAGGCAACCGCTTTCTAAGTTGGATATCATCAGCAACAGTAGACCTCAAATGGCTGTCGAGTTTGGAAGGTTGTAGGCTTTGACCTGCCTGCGAGGAGAGATGGTAGGAGTGAAGGTACTTCAAAATAATTCACCACAATGGGCGTAATGAATTATTTAAGTGGTTAATTTTTATTTAAAAAAATATTAAGAGATTCAACATAGATGGCTAGGAAATGGGAGGGGGAGTGATGTGCTAGAATTGCAGTGGTTTGCCACATTGATAGGGTGAACAAAAAACTAGTGAGAATGGGAGAAAATTTTCCTGTCGGTTGCCGGCATTTGTGATGAACTGAAATGTGCCAAAGAGAGGAAGGAGGAAGACGAGGGAAGTGGGCTCCAGGTTCACCAAGTTGTTGGAAGAATCCAAAGGGGAGAGGCATGTAATGAAATGAAATAAGTAGAACTTCGACTTCCGGAGTATAATAAATGTTAAGACTAAAGTTTAAATTCGAGCAAGAAATTCGAACAAAACACGTAAAAAAATTAAAATTATGAAGACTAATGGCTCCAAAACCAGCCCAACTCAAATGCTTGTCATTTGCCATTTTACGAGGCGAACACAAATTTGCATCAAAATATGACACTTTATACATATGCATGCATATACACATATTATGCATATACATATATTGATTTTAAGCCTTCTAAAGCATTCAAATTGTTCCACATCTTGAATCCAAAATTGTTCATCATTGTCAATCTTTTTAATCCGACAGGCTGACCAATCTGGAACAGTTGTAGAGATACTTGCAGAGGACGGAAAGGCCGTCAGTGTCGACACGGTATGCCTCATTCTCATACCCTCTTATCCCCACTCTTCTTCTTCTTCCTCAAATGCCTTACCAATTGTAACCTTACAAAACATATTCCAGCCATTGCTTATTATCGCACCCTGAAGCAGAAGAAATGGATGGAACAGAAACAGTAGCTCAGAACAAAATTTTCCAGAAACCTTTTAATTTGTTTCACAGTTAATCATATAATGGATGAAGCTCTCATTGCTGCAAATGAAATTTTAATGAATTTCTGTAGCTTTCTTCTGTGTATGATGGATCTATGTTATGTATTTTAGATATCTTCTACTTTCTTCTTCGCCGCTTCTTTCCAGTTCTGATGGCTTTGATGCATTAAGTTTTGTCATGTAAGTATTATTACTAGTGAGCTGGGACTTGTGAGAAGACTTTGTTAATGGTTTTAATTTTGTGAAAATGAGATTAACTAAGTTATATTTAATCTTTTTATTCATGTTATGTCTGCTCTAGATATTGTTCTATAAATGAATCTAAAGCGGCACATGCGAACATCAAATATAGCGTTAATTGCCCATTTTAATAGCCAAATTTGTCTTTTCATGTATAGGTAAAGTGTTATACGTGTAAATATGAAAGTTTTGGTGTGAGATACATCTTATAGAAGGATTCAACAATCTCAAATGGACCTTAAATAATTTCTGTATATATGATTGTAGCTTTATATATGTCTATTCATTAACACATAATTTGAATGTTCATGATTATTTGAGACCGATATTTGGATTCATTTGATATGGCCAATTTAATTATGGAACATTCGTAAGGAACTGAGAGGATTATTTTTAGGTATATATCGAAGCTCTGTAGTCATGTTATTTTCATGCGCAGGGCGTGCAAATTATGGTGTTGCCCATACAAGCTCATGATTTTAATGGTGGATAAATAATTATTTTTAAATGTTTTATCATATAAAAATATAAAATAAAAAATCACATGTTTGCTTGAGTATTTTTTTGATACGTTTGTATAACTAGGATATTTGTCACACCTTTTGTGTTTAATAATGCATGCACATTCAAATTCAATATCATCCAGGGCCTTGATTCCAGAATTTCGGGCAAGTCTAATGTCAAACTGATCATTTAGACAAGACAAGCCTAATGAAGCCTGAATTGATTTGATCTGAGTTTGATCGAGCCCAGAGATCAAGTCATCAAAGCACAATTAGAGCATTTGAATGAGAATTGATGGTCGAATTAATTTCAAATCTAATAAGTTTATAGTTAAATCGAGTGTTTCGTCAGGCTGAATTCAATGAACCCAATATCACTGGATTCTATCATCATTAGGACACAAATACTCATAAATACCATCGGATCAGAGGGATCACTCTAGCCTGTCTCGTGGAGTGGCTTAGATTCATGCAGTATTTACATAAGATGTCGCTCACAAAATCTAGGAATAGACCCTCATTTCCTTTATGTGTGGGGAGGGGGTGTGACCATGGAGGAGAAAGCTGAAGGAGCTTTAAGCTTTTGAAGGCCTCTGAGCTCCACTAACGCCGAATCATCACCACCAGCGGCTGCCATCAAGTTGTTGCCATTGCAGAACCACCATTGCCTCTTCCGACCACCATGACTGGCTGTTGTTGCCCAATCATTGTTGTCGAGTGGCTTTCTCTATAGAAACTACTGTTGCCGCTTCCAGGCCATTATTGACCGGTCACCGTTATTAAGCCACAGTTATCGTCGGACCATTGTTGTACGTTCCCAACCACCCCCATCCAGCGACTGCCAACGTCGAACCACCACTGCTCGACCACTGCCACCTTCACCATTCGAACCGCCATTGTCAGACCACCAGTATTTGGCATCAAATTTTCTGGCAAACCGCCTCTACTATCGGTGTTCTTTTATAACAACTGGATCACCGACATTTCCCCTTCTTTTTCTGCTACTCGTCTAGCAAAAGTCACATACCACTTGTGCATCATTACTTCCGACCATTAAAAGCTCGGTAAAGTTTTATTACCTATATCAACATAGAAAAATTATTTCAACTTGGTCAGACCCTATGATTTTTTCTCTTTTGAGTTTTCCATATAAGAACTTTGATGTCTACTCTATCAATTTCATCTTACAAGTGTAAATCAGATCTTCATATATCACTAAGATGTTGATCCATCACTCCGTGAATTTGAATTTACAAGCACACAATAAGAATGATATCCAATTTCTTTATCATAATTTTGTCATTATTTCTCAATCAAAATGTCATGATTTTAATGCACACTCAAATATATATTTCAAATTTTATAAATCTTGAGATGTATATTAAATTAAAATTTAATTTGTGAAAAAAAAAGTCATTTTCAGAAAATGAAGGAGTTTTATGCAAGAAATTCTTTGGATTTTTTTTCCCACCACCTCCTCTCCATGTGCTACCTGAAATGAACATATAAGGCATAAGACAATAACACTAATAGTCTTCCTATATAGGTATAACTACAAATATAAAAATTATAGGTGTTAGATATGTAAATATGTAAAAAAAGTATGACATGTATATAAAAAAAAAAAAAAAAAAAATCATGTTACAAAATTCCTGCGTCCCATGTGGTCTTTCCATGTGACCACTGCGCTCATTCGCCTCCTCCCCCTTTCTCTCTCTTCCCACCAAACAACGCGCTTGCCCGTATAGTCCACGTGCCTTGCATTTTATCCCTCCTCCCTCCTCTCCAAATTACCTTTTTACCCTCACTCCTAAAATCCAAACAAAATATATCTGAATGAAGACCAACAATAAATTTATCTTAAAATCTTTTTATAAACGTGAGGATCACTGCCTCAAACGTAATCAAATTATTTTAAACTTAATTATACTCAAAATATTCTATCATGATATGATTGTTTTAAAATATGTACCGCATGATGAAGAGAGATCCTTTGCAATGAGATCACGGGACCGGTTTAGCCAGCCGAGTCAAGAATCAGCGTGAGGACGGTCGTCTGGTGCCAACCAAGCAGCTCAACAGGGGAGTGGTGTAACTTTGACGAAGAGAAAATTGATTTGATGTAGGAGTTTACTCCACAGGAGAGCCAACCCGACTGAAAGTTTATTTCCGTGAAGCATTCCCAACCATCCAACAAAGACCAAAAGACTTATCACTAGAAGTAGTATTTTCGAGCCCAACAAGTTTGATCAAGCGAGATAAGCCGATCGAGTCCTATCGACGTAGATAATCTATGGAGCTGAGCTAACCAAACACAATCGACCTAGCTAGAATAACCGAGTAAAAAAAGACAAGATAATGAGCCGTTATTTATTGACCCTATACAAATGGGGGTAGAAGTGTAATATTATTATTGTACTAAATCCTCTATATAGCATTTATTGAAGAAGTTTATATAATTTTTATTCTTCATTTTATAGGTTATAGCTCCCTATTTTTCTGATATCTTTTCATGTTCTATTTTTTTGGATGTGATAGAGAGCTAATATTCTTCAATGTAAATATATGATGTTGATTATGTGCTTTGATGCCTAAAAATACGCAATGATCAAAGATACTATTTTTAAATATTTATGATTTAATAAGGAATGAAAATGAATTTAAAAGAAGGATATGACTATTACTGGGCTGGGCCACATTTGAACAGACCGGGGTCTTTTGACCCGATGCGACGGCCCGCCACGTGCTCATTGCTTGCGGGGCATTTTCGGTAATTAGTCGAAACAAGGAGGGTTATTTAAGGAAATTATCACGTGGACTGTTCTGGTTTCACATGGTTTCAACTCTGGACCACAGGCACTTCCCCTACCGGGCTTTACTTTTTGCGATTAGGACATTACCCATCAATCTCTGACTATTTACGAAAATGGCATAAAGACCGGCAACATTGAATGATTTAATATTTTAAGCTACATTGACTGATTTTCACTTCTGCTGCCTGTATTATTAAAATATAATATTTATTTAATTTGGACTTGTAGGGGCATTTCTGTAATTTTTTAAAAAATCATGGCCATATCCCGATCTCCTCGAGCTACATAATCTCTCGCATTCCATCTCGCCGGAGATACCGACGAAGAGCCACTCTTAAAAAATGAGCTTCTTTTTCAAAACCTCCGCCGCGAGATCCAAATCCTCAACTGCTCCCTCGAGAAGTAACACCGGCGGCCGCCGAAATCCACAAACCGCCGCCGCGGCTCGGGGCTGCCTCCACATTCCGGCGATTCAAAAGCTGTTCTCAGAAGACTACAGGCGCTTAAAGAGCTGATCCCTCCCATCAGAAATTTCGCAGTCGGCGGCGACGTTCCGCCAACGCAACTACGGCCGGAGGCGGCGGATGCTGACCGGATCTTTGAGGACGCCGCCGGATACATTCTCCGGCTAAGAATGCAAGTTGAGATTTTGAGGCGTCTCGTCGATTTGTATGGTGTCGAAGAGGGGACTGGATAATCTCTTACAGATCAAAATGTAATTTTTCTTAATTATCCCTTTCTTATATGCATATATAATGCTTTGATTTGATTTTCATCTCTGATGAATTTGTGAAAGAAATATAAGATTTGGAGCTTGAATTTTGATTTGTTCTTCTTTATGCAGCAGCTTTTGAAAATTGATTTGATGAGTCATTATCGTGGTGCCTTTCATTTTTTATTCTTTGTGCTCTTTGCTAAGTCACACATGATATATGGTCGACTCATTGTCCTGAGAACTTGGCGAGTAAGTTGTAGTCTCGTACATATCTGGATCTGTGAGATATAGCTCTCGACAAGGCGACGAAGTCGGTGAATGGCTTTCTCCAACATTTGGTTTCTTGCATTTGATCTGATACTCAGCCACTCATGCCCGGCCATTTGGACTCGACTGTTATTCATTCAAGCTTGTTTTTTTGGGTCTGGTTGCCTTATGTTTGTTGGCTTGCTACGCTGAATTTTTTTGGAGGACTTGGGTAGGGAGAAGACACATTAAAATGATTCCTATTCCTACTGGCCTGCCATGGCTGCTTTTGGCTATACATATTTAGTCATCTAATTATTTATCTTTTAGAAAATCATGCTATGCTATGAAAAGAATAAGTGAACACATACATTAAATCAATGTATAATTTAAATGTTATTCTGGAGCCTTTGTACCCACACGTCATCACGAATCAAACTCTGACTCGAAAAATCAGTGTTAGGATTGATCCGAATATTTTTAGAGTCAATATCGGGTCAAATAATTCGACGAGTTTATTATTTAGGACGGGTTGAACCCGAAAACCCAAAATAAGCATGAAATTTTGGGTCGGGTTCAGATTAGCCAGTCAATCTCGGGTTTGGATTGGGTTTTAGTTTTCAACCCATTTATTATTTGGGTTGGGTTTGGGTCAACCCTAATCATTGCAGGCCAAACCTGAACCCGCCTCGCTGACTCAAATTGACACCCCTACTTATAAATAAGATGATGAGATGTCATCAATGCTTCATTTCCTTTCTTCATGCTTTGCAAGCCTTAGGTTCTTGCATCATGCGATAGGTTTGATATGTTAGAATTTACTGAGACAAACACTAATATGTCCAAGATTGTAGAGGGTCTGCTCGCCAAATGAAAGAGGAAGTTAACCTGAAAAGAAAGAGGAATGTTGTGATGTGAATAAAAGAAGGTGATCACCAAAACATACTTCTTTTGCTTCAAAGTTTGGGCTTTCAAATCAATGCTCAGCATATGATAGGCTACATCGACATCTACTATTTCTTCGTCTGACCAAGCAAACGTATCGTGTTAATCACATAATTTATCAAGTAGATCATCTTTGAACCCTGCCTGCATCAGGAGTAACACTTAGTAAAAAAATTTCTACCTATGCTTCCTTAGTGGTGACGACTACTTCAATCAACTTATTAGTCTCTAGGAAACTTCTAGGGAGTTTTCTAGATCCAAAACTTCTCGTTGCACACTGCTTATCACCCATAGAGACCAGGTATGTGATTGCTCAAGATCATCTTTAATAGTTATCACCTATCCATGCCTCAGAGTTTTGCGGTGACATGGAAAGTTGAGATGATGGCCTTGAAAGTGGCAAGGAGCGTGTGACCAAAGATGACATTGTATGTTGCTGGGGGTCGACCCCGCTGGTCGCATTTTAGGATAATCAGCTTATCCTGAAACGCACAAACTACCCCAAATGGACGTTAAATCCGCTCTTGGAATGGGCGTGCTCATGAATCATTGAATCTCGATATCATGGTTGGTTTTATTGGTCGAGGCTTTCCTTTATCAACTCCGTAAGAAATCCTCTTCAACAAGCGCTCTCCGTGCGTTCAGTGCCCTAGACGATAGATGGTAAATTATATTCTTTCATAGATATATGGTTGTTGGTGAGTTCTAGCAACACATACAAGGTTTTGTGGGTGTTGCAAGCCTAGCACATAGCCAAATTGGCCTTCTCTTTGCCCTTATGATAGGCGACATGGGCGATTACAGGCTTCAGGTCTTGCTCCTTTATCATCTCTCTCTTAAATCGAGTTGCGAAGGGAGTTCAACACTAGTGAACTCTTTTGAGGATTAGTTTTGAGCACTGATAAATTATGCTTATGAACGTTCACTTCAAGTCCACAAAGGAGGTTATAACTCCCAGCTATAAGCTATAAAACCACCTTAGAGTCGACTCTTTTGGAGTCATGAAAAATAGTTGACACTTAAGAGTGTCATTGACCCTTGATAGGTAGACCGTGGTGGATTTAACCGAGGCAATGTGGTTAGATGGATCCAACCGTCCTCAATAAGGCTCCAAGGATGGGATTTTGAAATGCTTGAGTGCTGTTGAGAAAATTAGGGCGAAGAAAAACTAGAACGACACAAATCTTTGTGTTCTTCTGGATTTGTGTCGTTCTAGTTTTTCTTCGCCCTAATTTTCTCAACAAGTGGTATCAGAGACAAGTTCGAGGGCAAGGAAGAAAATTGTGGCGGCGCAGGAAGTAAGAAAAATGATTTGGGGATTTTGGAAGGAGAAGTTTCGGGATTTGCGTGGCTCATAATAGGTGCTCTAAATTCAAATATTTCTTTTAATAAAGCATTCTCCAACTAACATGGACAGGGGGTTTCAATCTTCTTCTTTCTATCGTGGTTGGAGGCCGTTCTTGCATTGTTGAGGTGGTATAAATCATCGTCGTTTATCATAGAGGGTGAGGGATCCCGACGCCGAGCTACATCCGGACGAACGTAATAATCTCTACTAACATAGGTGGAGAATTCCCTTCTTTGTCATAGCGAGGCTGCTTGTCGTGGTAGTAGGACCAGATCTCCAAGAGTTACAAATGTATGGTTGAACTTACCAAACACCTCCATTGAATTAATTCCAAACTAAATTTGATTGGATTCAGGAGGGGCATAACCCTGGACATAAGTGGAAGTAAATGATTACATATTCATTATTATTTAGTTAGTATAATTAAGATAACTTTATATTTATTTTATTGGGTTAAATGTAGTTTAAAATAGATTAAATGGAGTTTCTTAAAATACGATTGAAGAAATTAAAAAAAAAAATGAAAATCATTTTTTTTTGAGATAGAATATTAATATTTACAGAAATTTACATATATTGCGTATATTAGTTAAAAATATTGGCCATATAAAATTTTATTTAATGAATTTTTATTTTGACTTAGGTGTAAAAATATTTTTTGAATTAAATATTTTTTATATCAATTTTTATATTAATGATCTAATGTTTTTCTTTTTTTCATTTTGAAGGAATATTCCAAACTCTTTTTCTAAACCATATTTTCTGTCCTTTTCTCACCGTTATAAAAAATACTAATTTTTTATAAAAAAATTCGCTTTAGTCATGTAATCAATGAAAAATTATTACAATCAGATTCCAGAGGTAAGTGAAAGTGTGCGCAGGTCCCACCCCTCTATTAAATATATTCAACCAGTGTATTATAGTGGTGCGAACTTACCACGTGACAAATGTCCATTGGTCTTCAGACGTAAATTTGCATCTGATGTCCTGATACAATAATCGCTCGTATTCAACGCCACATTTGTAGTGTCGTTTTAATGAGCCTGTTTTTAATATTGTTTAAATTAATATTTATTATTTAATGCAATTTATATTGGTTTTTAAAAATAATTATTTTATTTTATTTTTAAGAATGGATTAATATCAACATTCAAAATCTTTTTAAAATTAAAAATGTTATCTAAATGAGAAGAAATTATTGCGTACGAACACCATATGCATCTCTGCATGCGGTGTCCGATCTACGATCAGGATATATTTCATATTTTTTTTTAAATTTAAGTGGGGCCCACCGAAATACATCCTGACCGTAAATCTCATGATCAGACACCGCATGAATCTTGCATATGATGTCCGTCCGTATGGAATAATTTTTCCTAAATGAGGATGAGGGCGGCCCATCCATGGGGGTGGGAAATATAATAGAAAAAGAAATATTGATATACTGTGTATAATGACCTTGTTTTGTCTTATTCTATCTTTTTTTTTAATTTTCTTAAATAAATATATATTTTTTAATGTAATGTCCCGCCAACAAATTTCCAACACCATTGCACGGTTTCGAGGTAATCTTTAGAGCAAGAAATATCTAAAATTTGATTGAGAGTTATCAAGACCTCTGACTTCAACAAATTTACTGTCAAACTGATCGGCAAAGCGAGGAAAATCCAACGATATCAAAATCGATCCAATCTGAGTCAAATCAAGCTCAGATCAAGTCATTAAACCACTTTTAGAAGCTTTCCGGGTATATTTAGAAAATCAAATGAATGTTGAATCTGGTGTGTTTATGGTCGAATTGAGACAAATCCAACGAGCACGAGATAGGTTAATTTTGACATTGTAAAGGCATTCAAATGTCGTCGAAATGAGTAAAGTCTTTTGAGCTCAGAGCCCAACCCCAAGGGGGCTTTTTCGTTTATCATATAAGTGGTTGCAAAGACAATTATTATTTCATAGTTGAACTCTTCAGCTGGGTAAGACCCCATAGTTTTTACTTTTTCGGGTTTTCCACATAAAAACTTATAGTGTCATTATTGCTTACATTTTTTTAGTATGTATTTAATCATTGTACGACACTAATATAATAATCCGGTATTCTATCGTCACGAATTTTTTAGCACGCATTAATGCTTTTTCAAATTTTTCTATATTTGATTCCCCAAAAAAATTAATTTTGATTCCCCAACAAAAAAAAAAAAAAAAAGAAAATCCTCTATTTGCCGGTTAGGAATCTCGGAGCTTCGGACGACTTGCACAAGAACACAAAGCTAGCTTATTTATACACCATACTAGAAATAATAGAATCAGCACACAACCAAAAAAAAAAAAATGATTGTCATCATCCTTTCCATTCTCTTCTTCTCAGCACTCCTCCTCTCATCTCTCTTTCCAACCCTCACCGATCGCCGCCGCCCTCCCCTGCCTCCAGGGCCAAAAGGCTGGCCTTTGGTCGGCAACCTCCTCCAACTGGGCACCAAGGTACACCAAACCCTTCAGCACCTATCAAACTCTCATGGTTCTTCCGGCCTCCTTCGTCTCCGCTTAGGCACCGTCGACGTCATCGTCATATCCTCCGCCTCGGCTGCCGCCAAGTGCTTTCGCAGCCACGACGCCAAACTCAGCAGCCGCCCCCCGAATTCGCTGGGCAGGCACTTTGCCTACAACTTCCAAGATCTCATAATGGCGCCCTACGGGCCGCGGTGGCGGATGCTCAGGAAGATCTGCGCCACGCATCTATTCTCAACTAAGGTCCTGGATAGCTTCCAGCACGTGCGTGAAGACGAATTGGCGACGCTCGTTCGCGACCTGGCTTCAGACAGAGATGCGGTGATTGATGTGGGAGCGGTGGTCAACTCGTGCGCAACAAATGCTCTGGCACGTGTGTTAGTTGGACGGCGGGTGATCGTCGGAGGCGAGGAGGCGGCCAAGTTCAAGGAAATTGCCGCGGAGATATCGAAAGTTGCAGGGGAATTCAATGTTGGAGATTTTGTGCCTTGGATCGATTGGCTAGACCTACAGGCATCTCTTCTCCTTCTAAAATTGCTATAATCCCCTCATTTATATATCTATCCTAACAACACATTGATAAATAGCTATTCATGTAAGCAGGGCCTGAATAAAAAGATGAGGAGAATCCGGGAACGATTTGGCGAATTTCTGGACAAAGTAATCGAAGAGCACCGTTTGCAGAGAGTCAATCACACTAAAGATTTTCTCAGTGTGCTTATTGAGATGAATGGCAGCGCAGAAGGGGAGCAGGATGAGATCATCGACATCAACATCAAAGCTTTGCTCCAGGTTTTCTTTTTTCGCTTATTTATTTATTTGTTATCGTCAAATATCTTAGACATGATTTTAAAGATATGGCTCTTACAATTATATCATTTTTGGTTACTTTGTGTTATTTTTTATTTTTTTTTAATTTTGGGTTTTTGCAGGATATGTTCATTGCAGGAACTGAAACTGTGTCTATTACGGCAGAATGGGTATTAGCGGAGCTCATTCGCCACCCACATATTCTTGCTCGTGCCCAACATGAGCTCGACTCCGTCGTCGGGCGTGATCGATTTATATGTGAGTCGGATCTATCAAAATTTCCTTTCCTCCATGCTATTGTCAAGGAGACCTTGCGGCTACATCCCCCGCTCCCTCTTTCTCTCCCCCGCATGACGGTTGAAGACTTTGAGATCGATGGCTATCTCATTCCCAAAGGTGTTACCGTACTTATTAATGTTTGGGCTATTGGTCGTGATTCCGCCTCTTGGCCCGATGATCCCTGCAAATTCAATCCTGATCGGTTCGGCTCGAGTTCGCTGCATGCAAATGTTGATGCTAAAGGAAACGACTTCGAGTTAATACCTTTCGGTATTGGGCGAAGAATGTGCGCCGGAATAAATCTGGGCCTTCGAATGCTTCATCTCATAACAGCCATATTATTACATTCTTTTGATTGGACGATGCCAGACGGTTATATGGCCGAAAAGTTGGACATGGAGGAGAGTTATGGGGTGTCTATGCCTAAAGTAAAGCCACTTATGGCTAAAGCAATGCCAAGGCTCGCACCTAATACATATCTTTAATTTTTGTATGCATGTCATCTTAATTTTGCATGAAATAATTTTGTCTAGATAATGACCTATCAAATACAATTGTGTAATGTTGAACTATTTATCATCCATTTTTTTAATGTCTATATAGATTAATTGACCATATTGCTATTTAGTTTGAATGTTTAAGAGTCAATTTTTATAAATATGAGACTAACTGATCCCATATTTCTAATAGTTTAAAGAATCGAGTACAACATCACAAATAATACAACATCCCGAGAGATAAATATACTTTGATTGTATAAGCTAAATAATCAATGACATTCATTTGATCTACAATTTTTTTTTGCGATCAACAATTCACCTATCTAACATAAAGATTAGACAACATTATTTTACATGAGTTCATAATTCTCTATAGAGACAAACCTCTACAGTTATTTACATCTTAAATGATCCAAGTCATTTAAAAAAAAACTCTTAATTAAGATCAGAGGTTTTGTCTTTAAGAACTCAACGTTTATGTTTCCACGATTGCTTATAGAAAGTCATATGAAAAAAGGCTCAATATGAATCAATTATTTTCGGAACCAAATGGAGTGAATAGTAGGAGATGTTAAAGATACTGAATAAGCTCCAGTGGCATCTCAAACTAACTCATGGTTTGACTTTACATCTTTGAATTAGAAACTATATAATGCTTCAATCATGCAATTTACTATAATGTTGTGATTTTGGCATGTGTATTTGAATTGATGGTTGACTCAGGTCGCCTTCAATTCGCCCGCTTGCTAGGCCAAATTTTCGGGTGGACTTAGGCTGGGAGAAGGCCCTCTAAACTATTTACCATCATTTGTTGATTCATTATGACCACATCTGGCAATACATAATGTTTGGGAAGTTAGATACCTTAATACATAAGAATTATGTGATATGTATGTAAAAATAAATCCTTTTCTTTCCATATGTAAGTTGGATTTTTTTTTCTTATATCGCAAGAAAAATACAATTTTTACTAACCTTCAAGTAAAAAGTGTAAAACAAGTTCTCTTAAACACAGGTAAAATGACATTTAAATGTAAAAAATCAAAGTTTTAAATTCAGGTAAAATAAAATTATTTATAAAAAATTACAAAAATCCATTTCTTAAATTTACATATATTAGTTAAAATATTGGGCAAATAAATTTATATTTAATGAATTTTTATTTTGAATTAGGTATTAAAATATTTTTTCCATCAATTTTTATATAATGATGTTGATGCGTGCTAGAAAATTCGCGGTGATACAGTAATGAATTATCTTCTTAGCGTTGCGTGAGTATTCAACACATACTCAGATGAAAATGAATCAACATGTGATGACATAATAATTTTTTTACGTGGAAAACCCGTAAAGAGAAAAAACCACGGGGTTTGGCCCAGTTATAAAAATCAACTATAAGTCGACGAATACAGAAGCGACTTATCCCACAGACGAGAAAAAGTTACTAGATTTTCCAAAGTATAACGTCGACTGACGACGTCTAGCTGGCGGTGATTGACGGATGTCGACGGTAGTCAGCGACGATCGATGACGGTTGGTGGTGGTCGACGGAAGTCGGCGGTGATCGCAACGGTCGGTGGTCAACAGAGGTCAACGGTAATCGCAATGGTGGCCCGCGGTGGTCGACGGTGGCCGGCGATGGCCGATGGAGATCAGCGATGACAGAAATGATGTTGGACTTGAACTCCTTCTCAAAGCCCCAAGTTCTCTCTCAAGCCTCAAGTTCTCTTCCAAGCATCCCCCTCATGTGTGAGGTGGGGCTTTATAATGTTTTGAGTGCAATTAATGCAAGAATATGCACCATTTTGATCAGATGGTTTAGATGACTTCCTTTGATCAGATGACGTTTGATGTACATTTGAGTGTCTTAACGATGTCAGAATTGAGCAATCTCAGACTCGTTAGATTCTTCTTGTCGAGACGCTCGATTCAACTATGAACTCACTAGATTCGATATCCGTTTAACCATTCAAATGCCTCTGAAAATTCTCCAAGAGTGGTTTAATGATTAGATATGGGCTAGATTTGACTCGGACTGAATTAACTTTCATATTATTAGGTCCGTCTCATCGAGCCGATCAGTTTGACTATATGTTTGCTGAAATCGAAGCTCTGAATGATTTTTAATTGAAATTTTAATGTTTCTTGCTTAAAATATTACCTCGAGATTCGTACCAGATGATGAAAATTTGTTGGTGGCGTGTCAGTTGCAACACTATTTTCGGACGAATAAGCTTTTATTTGCTATATATATATATATATATATATATATATATATGTATATATATGTATGTATTATTTTGTACGCAATGTTTTCAATGCTTGGTAATTTCCATATGCTCCCATAAGCTTTTATTTGCTGACATTTTCTGATTTGCTAGTAAATCCTTACATAACCTTTTATTTAATTTGATAATCCGGAAAGGACTTGAGCATCTAAAGTGACGGAATTCGGAAAGGGCGAAGTTGAAGCGGGATCGTCGGCTGGAGAGAGTTAAGCTTTTATTTATCAATCCGTAAAGGAGCGTATAAAGCGACGAGAATCCGAACCGAATCTGGATCGCGAGGCTGAAGGGAGTTAAGCTTTTATTTGATAATCCTCAAAGGAGTCAAGTAGATAAACCAATGAAAATCCGAACAAGGAGAAATTAATGGTTATTTTAATTATTTTAATAATGAGTATTTAATTACTTAAATCATTTTTTACCCAATAAATAGGGGCTGGAAGGAGAGGGTAGAGGTGGAGTCCTCAATAAATTCAGGATTTCCAAGAAGAAGAAAATCTTCATGCGCAGCAGTGAGAAGTTGCGGCGAAGAGTTATAGTGAAGAGTTGCGGCACAAAATTACGACGAAGACTTGCGAGAAAGTGTTGCAGTGCAGAATTACGGCGAGAAGTCGACAAAGTGTTGCAGTGGAGAATTGCGGCGAAGAGTCGATAAAGTGTTGCAGTGGAGAATTGCGGCGAAGAGTTGGCGAAGTGTTGCAGTGGTGAATTGCTGCGAAGTGTTGTATTGGTGAATTGCGGCGAAGTGTTGCGGTGAAGAGTTGCGGCGAAGCATTGCAGCAAATTGTTGCGGTGAAGAGTTCAGGCGAAGCGTTGGGGCGATGCAATGTTTTCCGGCAGTGCGTCGCGGTAAGACGTCGGGGTGATGTGATGTGTTGTGGCAGTGTGTCGCAACGATGCGTTGTGGCGTGGCAACGAGTGGTAGAGAGGCATCGCGGATTGTGCACGCGATATTGAGGAATGATAAAAATGGTTCACCAAAGAATGATTCATGGGGTTATTTTTATTTTTATTTTAAATGTCACGGTGGATATCTAATGTCATTTAGAAATTCTAGTATGAAACAAGGTTATCATGTGAATAAATTATAAGCGACCTTTAACTTTTCCTAAGCTATGCATCAGAGTTTTACTCGATGATGTTAACCTGCATAAGATGAGGCAATGGAAGTCCACTGAAGACTTATTAACCCATCCGAGGTTGTTTGTCGGAGCATTGCTCACTTACGAACCTGTGTAAAAGGGGCCAGGTATAGCCCACTAAGAACTGTTAACCTATTCAAGATTGTTTATCGGAGTAAAAACTCGACGATGTTAACCAATATGGAAGAGGTTAGATCAAATCCCATTGGGATTGATCGTGCTCTGACTAAGATACAACCGAAATTGTGTATTTCCCGGGTCGAGAGCATGAAGTGACTCGTGGATGAGTCATCATACTTTATAAAGATATCATTATGTATAGGAAAGTAAGTGAATAATATTAAAGATACATTGATTATGCATGAGTTGCGATGTAATAATATATATGGACTGCTCGGTTGGGGTGTTATTGGTAGTACTTGCGAAGATTTTCTGCATTCCAAGTCCGAGGCAAGATTTTCCCATCCGAACCCTTGAGCTTGAAGGTTACATGCTTGATTATGACAGCCACGATATATGAGTCTTCCCAAAGAGATGATAGTTTGTTGCGTTGGAGACCATGACCGGCAGCTTCAATACTACGCAAGATCAAGTATTTGACGGAGATAGGTTGAGGCTTGACTCACCGATTGAAGTGACGAGCAACTCTTTGGCGGTAGGAAGCAGCTCTATGATGGGCCACATCGCGTGTTTTTGGGAGGATATCCAAATGTTGTCGGAGCTTTTCCTCATTGCTATATGAGTTGAAAGTCTTCACTCGCGAGTTTGGAACTCTGATATCAACCGGGATAACAGCCTCAGTGCCGAAACACAAGTTATATGAAGTTTCCCTGGTTGGAGTACGCGCAGTTGTGTGATAGGTCCAAAGGACCTTGTGAAGCTCTTCTACGCACTGCCTCCTAGCCTTCTCAAGACGAGTCTTCAACCCCTTGAGCACTGTCTGATTTGTCACCTCTGTCTGTCCATTTGTTTGGGGATGTGCCACTAGGGCTCTCAAAAAAGCTCGATGTTCGCGAACAGTTCGTGTTCGATTCGCCAGAGCATTTTATAATTTATGATATTTTTAAAATAATTATATACTCAAAAAAATTAATATATTTTAAAATTTAAAACCTGTAAATTATAATGTAAAATAAATTATTAATAATAATACATTTACATACTATCTAAACTCTAATAATATAGGTATTATATATTTATATAATATAAGTATATAATTATTATAATATATTATATTATTATTTTTATATTATAATATATAAAGGAAATGAAAGAGCGGAACCCTAACCCCCGTTTTCACCTCTCACGCCGCTCTCCTCTCACGCGATCTCACGGAAGCACGAGACCGGCTGCTCCTTCGCTCAAGATCGTGAAAAGCTCGCCGCTTTCCTCTCACAGAAGAACGAGACCGTAGCAGATCTTTCTCCTCCGGCTGCTCCTTCTCTCAAGATCGAGAACCATCTTCTTCTATCAAAATCGCGAAAAGCTTCTCTCGGTGAGAACTTGTCTCAAAATCGCAAAAATATTTATCTCGGTGAGAGCTTAGAGTTGATTTTTTATGTTCATTCTATAATCTCTACTTCTATTTTTCTTTGATAAAAGGTATTTTTTCTCGGTGAGTCGGCGTTGGATCGACCCGGTATTCTTGCTTCGGT